TTCGTATATATATATATATATATATATATACATATATGTATACACACACACACATATGTATACACATATATATATATATATATATATATATATATACACACACTTATATGTATATATACATATATATATATTTTGAACAATAAGAAAATAAAAAATTAAAATCATTAGACACACTGGGTTGTAGATTAATATTCTTTCGTTTTTTTATTATTATTATTCCATTTAGATTCCTCGACTAGTTTCGACCGAAATGGCCATTATCGGGAGGAGAAATATTTCTGCTTGCTGTTAGCAGTGAACTACAGAAATGAATGTCTTTTGTTGGAGAAAATGAACTTTTGTCTGTAGTTTTCATTTGTTTTTTTATTTTTTTATCTTTTTCACATGAATCTTTTAACATTCCTTGTGTTGGTCAAACAGTCTCTTTTAAGTTGTTATTTGAGATAAGAACTGGATAGATACATTTTATCCTGAATTCTCTGGTCAGTTTGACAGTTTTATTGGACCTGGTGAGGGGATGTGTCTCCGTTTAGTGTTTGTGTGTGTGTTATTTGGTTCTTAGGGAATGAGTGAGTATGATATGTGTAAGCATGTGTATTGCTGTAGGTGTGTGTTATCATTTGGCTCATTAGGGAATGAGTGAATATGGTGTGTGTACGTGTGTATAATCATGTGGGTGAGTGTATAAGTGTGAGGCCTCCATTCCTCCATAAGCATGTCTGTCCTGTGTGGGTGAGAAATGTGGGTAGGTTTTGATTTGTTGAGTTATATATTGTTACTATTATATATTGTTAAATTTATGATTTAGCCTGGCTGGGTATTTTGTTTTTAGACGTTGTATCCACTTATTTTCATGGGACTCTAAAATCTTTCTAATGTTATCTGCTCTGAACTTTTCTATTCTCTCAATTATAGTGAATCTGGCATGGGTTTTGAAATCGTGTTTTTCTAGGGCGGAAATGTTGTTCTACAGGTAATAATTGTTCATAGGAGTCGATTTAATTAAACTACGATAATTATTAATTCTGTAGTGAAAGGGCCATTCAGATTTTCCTACATATTGTTTCTGGCATAGTGTGCATTCTAGGAGGTAAATTATGTTTTGACTTCTACAGTTAGAATCGTGGTAGATTTTGAAAGTAGATTTAGTGATTGAGCTAGTGAATGAATTCGTGTTTTTAATATGGTTTGCAACATAAACTTCTTTTGTTGTTACATGGTTGGGAAAATCCTGTTGTTTTTGTTCTTAGTTCATTACGGATTACCTTGTCCCCTGAAATGTGGTTACTACCTATGATTTCTTTTAGGTTCTTAGGTCTCGATATGCAAGAAAGCCGGGTTCCTTAAGCAGTTTTTTAGGTCTGGTTTGAGATGTAGTATTTCCCAGCTTACGTTTGATTATTTGGGATAGTGGAGGCAGAGTGGGATTGAAAGTGGTTACTAGAGGGATGCAGCTAGATTTATTTTTAATCTTGTATATTAGGGTGTCTTCTCTAGGTGTGGAAATTGCTTTATTTATTTGTTCCCTGATTAGGTGTTGTTTATAGCCACGTGTTGTGAATTGATGCTCCAGATTTTCAATGTGTTTATTTAATTCGTCATTGTTGGAACATATCCTTCTGAGTCTAAGTGCTTGTGAATAGGGAAGGTTCTCTTTGAGGTGTTTAGGGTGGGAAGACTTAAAGTGTAGATAGTTGTGGGTGTCAGTGATTTTAGTGTGTAGTGTCGTTTGTAGTTTCCTGTTTTCATCTATGTAAATGGGGTCTAAAAATATATATATATATATATATATATATATATATATATATATATATATATATATATATATATATATATATATATATATATATATATATATATATATATACACACACACACACGAGTTGGGATCAAATATAGATCACATATGTAATCCGACAGAATGATAAGATAAGAACAAATAGGAAATGTTTATCAATCTAATATGTTTCACTTCTATATATAAAAATGAAACATGTTAGATTGATAAACATTTCTGATTTGTTCTTTATCTCATAGCCTAAATGCTCTTTTCTGGAAACAATTATTTAAACTTTTTTTTTTGTTTCAAATGATGAATTAAATAACATTTAGCTCCATGATCTCCCCACCTACCAAAATTATTGTAACCTCAAAACAATTTGAGGAATCATAAGTTCTTGAATAATTTCTAATGCAAAAATAATTTTGTGCAAAAAACTTTAAATAAAAAATGTAAAAGCTGCGTTCATTGGAAAAGAGAAACTAAACAAAGCAGATGATCTCTGATACTGGAAAGTTTAAAATTATAGAGCATTCATCTGCCCTCTCCTCATGAAAGTAATTTAAGTAGGAAGAAAAGCAAAGACAAAGCCATTACATCTTATATTGAAGGGACGGGGTCTAATTGGATGAACAAATATTTGGGGTTCAGCTGAAAATCAAAGTTTATTTTATAAACAACTTAAGGGAGAGAAAAAATGCCTACAATCAGGATAATCCATTAATGGAGTGAAGAGATGTAAAAAACTAAGCCTCACAGATAGAAAAGCTTAAATAACATTTAGCAAGAGAATAGCAAGTGATTGCCAGCCACGGTACAGCCCTGCAACCTCACCTAAAAAGGGAGGGGGTGAATTAAAATTAAAAAAAAAAGACTCAATGCAAAAGATGAATGCATTCAAAACATTTTCTTCCAATACTTACCTTTACTTAAAAAGAAACAAAATGATCTCAAAGAAAATCTTGTCAAGCAAAGAATTTGCTAACCTGTTCATTCCAAGATAAATGTCTTCAAGTGATGTCCATTTGAAAATTTCTTCCCTAAGTTCCAGTAATAAAGCTGCACACATAAATATATCAAATGAATAAGGAGGTTTATCCATTGAAGACACCATCCGGAGAATGCCACCTAGAGGGGGGAAAAAAAAGGAAATAAATTTTTAATTAGCACTTTGAGAGAGAAGGGGGGGGGTGACATGAACAGAGAGAGAGAGAGAGAGATGAACAGAGAGAGAGAGAGACATGGGAACAGAGAGAAAGAGAGAGAGAGAGCCTTGGACAGAGAGAGAGAGAGAGAGAGAGAGAGAGAGAGAGACATGAACAGAGAGAGAGAGAGAGAGACATGAGACAGAGAGAGAGAGACATGAACAGAGAGAGAGAGAGAGACATGAACAGAGAGAGAGAGAGAGACATGAACAGAGAGAGAGAGAGAGACATGAACAGAGAAAAGAGAGAGAGAGAGACATGAACAGAGAAAGAGAGAGAGAGACATGAACAGAGAAAGAGAGAGAGAGAGACATGAACAGAGAAAGAGAGAGAGAGAGACATGAACAGAGAAAGAGAGAGAGACATGAACAGAGAAAGAGAGAGAGACATGAACAGAGAAAAGAGAGAGAGACATGAACAGAGAAAGAGAGAGAGACATGAACAGAGAAAGAGAGAGAGAGACATGAACAGAGAAAGAGAGAGAGAGACATGAACAGAGAAAGAGAGAGAGAGACATGAACAGAGAAAGGGAGAGAGACATGAACAGAGAAAGGGAGAGAGACATGAACAGAGAAAGAGAGAGAGACATGAACAGAGACATTAAGATGATACAGGTTAAAATCTTTTTTCTTGCATCTTAACGGCTTTATTGCCTTGCTTGTTGTGAAAAAAATTTTCAATCACAGATCATAACAACTGCTGCCTTAGAAATAAATATCATAATACTTGCTAAAAATCAGTTTCATTTTCTTCTATATAAGATTTATCAGGAAAGAATGCAGCCATTTTGTATATAGAGAAATATTCTGTGCAGCTTTGATATATTTTATCAACCAATCAAGAGAGAGGACATTATTTCATATGCATGAATAGACACTCTCCCATAGAGTTACTCGGTCACATTTGCAATACCATGGACTGAAGATGTGAGCAACAACAAAGTTTTAGAGAAAATGGAAACAAAAAAGACAATTATATTTAACATCAAGAAGAGACAATTGAAATTTCTAAAACATATAATGTGGAAAGAGGGCTTGGAAAATTTGATACTCACAGGACAGATTGAAGACAAGGAAAACAAAGCATAACTTACCTAGCTGGATGGCAGAACAAGGTTTAGGAGAGATAACAAGAAGACAAAATTTATTAAGAGCTATGAAGGACAGGAAATTGTGGAGAGCCATGATCGCCTACGTCCTAAGGGGACACAGTACATAAAAAAAGAAGTGGATAGATTAGCTAAGTCTCATGCATTGTTTTTTGTTTTTTTTTGGCAAAACATTCAAATACACAGGTCTTCTAGCTCCCCCTTAAAATTTATATTTGGTTCCCTGTGATTTTTTTCCAATATTAAAATCTCTGTTGAAACAGAGGAGGTCACAGACCATGGACGAGATTAAGGAGAACATGACAAGGTGGCTGATGGAAATCTCAATATAATTTTAGCTGCAATAATGAATAAATATGCAGTTGCTCCCTTGATATTTAAGTATTCAGGTTACTAGGTGTTGTTTTCACCAAATCAGCTTAAAAGTATTTAATTCAAGGCCCTTGAAAATGCAAGCCCCATAGCATTTGCTACTACACTCTTTCTTTAAGGAAAACATTCTCCCACACCTGAATGTAACTTTTTAAAATTTATTTCTGCATCAACTGAAGGGAGATAACTCCGGTTAACAACTAACTTAGCTGATAAGTCTATTTTCAATAAATAGCAACTAAATTGAAACTAATACAATCCAACTTCAAAAAAGATACAGTTGAAGTAAAAAAAAAGAATAAAAATCAAGCATTCATAATTGTATATTTTTTCAATCATTTCATGCCAAGCAAGGCAATAAAGTCACTAAGACACAAGGGGGGTGAAAGAAAAAAAAAAAAGAAAAACATTATTAAGGAACAAGAACAATAAAAGAAGACAGTGTTCTTAAAGAACAGTTCAAAGCAAACATTAAAAAGTCTGATGAGTAAGCACGATTACTTAAATAATCTTGAACTTTCTCTACAGCTATTGGTCATTCCAAGGTAGAAAATATGAGAAAGAAGAAAAGAAAAAAAACATTAAAATGGAAGAAAAAAAAAAACAGATTAAAATGGAAGAAAAAAAAATGAGAATGCATTACCCTGAATGGTTGGTAAGTGGAGACATGGTGGAGCAAAGAATAGCGACTTGGATTGAGGAATCAGGGAGCCAAGTTTGAATTCCACTTGAGTTTGTTACATTCAAATATGTGGAAATATCCTTTGGAAACGTATGAATCCATCTCTTCTCTCCCCCCCCACTATAGGTAAATAGCAGGATAGACTGGGATCTATAGCCTTGATTGGTGACTAGTCTATGAAAAGGAAAACTGAATTCAAACCAGCCTAGAGAAGGCTGGGCTGGTCCAGGCTGTCTTGCCACAGATATTTCATCTGATGCCTATTGGTCCATGTAGCCTTCAGAAAACTTTGGATATATATATTTTTTATTTTTTTTTTACAGCAAGGTTCACCATGTACAAGGCTTGGGGATCACTCAAGGTAGGGAGTTATGTTAAAGGGTGGTTTATATAGATAGGAGGGGAATATCTTGATTAACTCTAGACTTGAACAGGTTAAGATTGTAGTGATTGGGGAGTCAGTTCCACAGGTCAGTGGTTCACAGGAAGGAGCTGTTTAAGTGGGAAATTACAGAGGAAATGTGGTTGGTTGGCTACTATGTAAGTGGCATGGCATGTCCGAGTTGTGATGGTTAAACCTGGCATAACCGAGGAATATAGTTCATATATATAAATATGAATGTTGGTCGTTATTTTAAGAAGTAAGGGGGTACAAGTGAAAGGTCAAATCATATAGTTGAGCTTAGCAACTTTAACAAAATATTGCAATAACAATCATAAATATGAATGTTGGTCGTTATTTTAATGAAGTAAGGGGGTACAAATAAAAAAGATTTCAAACTGACAACTTTTTTCACTTCACTGAAACTGATGTTAAACACTTCCATCTTCCCTTCATTTTCTCATTGAAATCAACTTGCATCTTTGATGTCTTTTTCCTTCTCACATAATCAAAATGAAATAGTCCATTATTTATGAGAAGACATTAAACACTTCTATCTTTTTTTTTTCACTGAAATCACGTAGCATCTCTGATAAGTCTTTTTTCTTTCCATGTGATCAAAATGGAATAGTCCATTATTTTTTAGGTAATGGCAGGGCATAATGGCCATTCAAACTAAGGAATTAACGAAGGGACCAGCAAGTACAATTATTATATGACTAGAAAGACCAATGAAAGTTTCATAGTATTGCTATTTAAATAGTTTTTTAAATTTTTTCTTAATCTCAGAATGTTAAGACAAAATAAGAAAAGAAAACATTCACCTCCTTAAACAGGTTTTTTTTTTTAAAAAAAAAAAAAAAAAAAACAGTTAAAGATACACTTTCAAATAATAAGTGAAATATTAAAACAATCATTTAATATTAGTGTTGTGAAAGGTAATTGAGGCAGAGGGAGATTTTATATGTCATCAAATGCAGTTAGAAAAAATTAATTTCTTGCTTAATTTAAAAATGTTGGTTCCAATCTACAGTCAGAATGGCAGCTAAACCCCACCCCACCCTGCTACCTAACCAAATTTATAGACAAACTATACAAATGCATGCTGGGACTTCTTCCGAGCCAGTAAGATTGGCTACTTCTCAATCATATCCGACTTAGTTCTGTTCTTTAGTGTCTTGAAGTCAGAACAATGCAAATGCTTGCGTATATACCTTTTTATATGTTAACATCATTCTTAGCATTTGCCTTATTACTGTTGCCTTGCAGATATTGTTTACTTGCTTTATATTATTTTTGCCTTATTACTGTTGCTTTGCCTTGCAGATATTGTTTGCTTGCTTTATATTATTTTTGCCTTATTACTGTTGCCTTCCCTTGCAGAGAACAATGTCTTCAGCTATATTAAAAGATGATAGGAAATTGCCAATAAATGAAATAAAAACTTACCAAAATCATCAGAATCACGTTTACAGTCTTTTCTCCGACTTAGTTCTGTTTCTACAGCAGTTAATTCCAAATACCGGCTGTTAATGATTTCAAAGCATTTCAGGGAATCTTCCAAATCAAATTCTCTCTTGAAACCAACTACCAACCATCTATATAATTAAAAACATGATATTGTAAACAGAGACACTAAAATATTAAACTGACAAGTTTTACATATACAATAACAGTAAAAAGGAAAAAAGATATCTTAATCTATGATAACAGTAAGTTGCTTACCTTTGACAGCAGACCATACTTAAGTTGTATTTTGTCAAATGACAACGGACTTCAGCATCAACTTCATTCAGCAACTGTTGGACCTTATCTGAAGGTGAAAGAAAAATGTATTTTTACATGAAGACTGAAAACTTTTAAGAGAAAGTTGCATTTTGAGCTTGATTAAATTTTATTGGAAGGCAATCAAGAGAAAAGAAGGAAAAAGTCTGAAAACAAAGACAACTACTTTTTTTTTTCAGAGCAAAAAGTATTTGAATTTCTTAGTAAAGTATTGTCATCATATTTCTCTTGCCTTTATATCTATTGGCAATCGCCAAGGCTTCATTTAAGAAATTTAGACAACTCAAGACTATTACTACTTGGTGGAAAAACAAGATGAAAGAAATACTAGTCAAAAATGAATAGGCTTCATCTAAGAAATTCAGACAACTTAAGATTATTTCTACTTGTTGGAAAAGCAAGAGAAATAAAATGAAAGAAATATTAGTGAAAAAGGAATAATAATTGCCAAGGCTTCATCTAAAAATTCAGACAACTTAAGACTATTACTACTTGGTGGAATAGCAAGATACCATGAAATACCAGACAATAAATAATTATGGAAAAAAAAAAATATTTATCTTGAATTTTTTCATTTTTAATAAGATGTGAATATTCCCAAGTAATTTTATTCAAATTTTTATGAAAAAGAAACAAAAGAAAATTGTTTTTACCCATTTTCCTTACAAGACCATCTTCTTTAAATTCTTCCTTCACTGTATCCATGTAAGACTGAAAACACCAGTAAGCCAATGGCTGCAAAAGAAAATTTTAGTTTACATCCAATACCAATAAAAAAAATAGTCATCAAAAGAAAAGCAATAGAAAGTTGAATTTGGTTGACTAAGTCCTGCAACAAGATACATCAGATGTCAAAAATGAAGAAATATCAAGCTAAGTGATCTGTATCTTCAGCATTTCTCAATATAAAATTTTAATCCACTTTTGTATTTCCTCCCACCTCCGTATTGTATGTAAAACCATTATTTGTCTGTAGAAGTCCTTTTAAGGGACAGAAACATGACTAAGAAAATTTTAATATTTTATCATTCAATTACTGATCATTTGTGCATGTGAGTATATATATATATATATATATATATATATATATAAACAAAAATGGATAGCAGCTCAGATTGAGAAATAGGAGAGCCAAGTTCAAATTCATTACATTCACTTACATGATAATACAGTTGGGAATGGTATGAATCCAACTCTTCTCCCATACTGGGTCCTATAGCCTTGGGTGGCAAATGAACTAGGAGAAGGACAATTCTAAATTAAAAACCTGCATTTGGGGAGCTTGTGCCATACTATGTAATAGGTCTCTGTATTCAACTCTTCCCAAAAGTGTGGTTGGTTCTATACAAGCCTTCAGAACAATAATCAAATAAGATGTGTGGGTAGTCTGACTGTTGGTTCTAAGAATTGAGCTGCTTGACCCTCATACATTGAAAACATGTGGTTGCAATTTGATTTCAAGTAATAACATTCATCCTCAAATGTGGGAGGTTTAGATGTCACTTTTTAGTTCTGCTTAGGATTTACATTCTCTTGTGCAGATGTGGCAATGTTGGGCAATTCTTGCAGGTTTTACAGTAATATTTTGGTGAATGTTCAAATGATGTTTTAGTCAAAGGCAATCAAAGATCTACAAATAGTTTTTAAAAAATTCATGTGCCAAAAATAAATATGATTTCAAAATTGAAAATATTATGGATTACTTGTAATTACATGTACAAGTCCCAGTATAAATAATTATTGATTGATTTTATCATTGTGATATTTTTGCATTATATCAAGTATTAAAAATATAGTAACTAGGGTCTGCAAATTGGAGGAGAGAGTTATCAATTATAATGTTCTGACTTCAAATCTGTGGATATCCCCCTTTTACACTCTCTCCGTTTATTATTTTAAAATTTTTATCACATAAAATTTGGTGTGCGGCAAGCAAATTTTCATTCTGAAAATGCAGCCCACAGAAATCCTTTTGAAAGACAAACTACATTACATAAAATTCTTTCCATTTTGTCATTCAGTTACCCACCATTAGACTGGACACTCCTGTTGTTTTTGATGTACGAGGCTACAGCAACTCAGTTCTTAGAGCCAGTACTATCCACTAATATCATTTCATTATAATGGTGACAGCTTGAGTGGAACCAACCAGACTTTTTGGAAGAGCCAAATATAGAGGAATTGGTACACATTACAATGGTTTCCCCAAAAAACCTCCTCAGGTTTCCAATTCAGAGTTGTCCTTCTCATAGATCAAGGCTCTAGGATGCAGTCTGTCCTACTATTTATTTGTACTTGGTGGGGGGGAGGGAGAAGAGATGGATTCATACATTTCCTAAGGATATTTGCACATAAGTGAATACAATAAACTCAACTGGAATTTGAACTCAGCTCTCCAATTCCTCAATTCAAACTGCTATCCATGACTCCTAACTGGCCAGAAATATACATTTCAAACATGTTCAATTAAATAATACTGACAAGTTTTGTCTTTTCAAATTTTTTATTCACTTTTCCAGATTTCTGAATTAGTTGTTTTATGCAACTCATAAATTTGCCAAAGTTCATATTTATTTTATATTATTCCCCCACCCGAAATACTTTCAAATATTGCTATATTCTTTTTAAACGATTGTGTTTTGTGTATATTTATGTAACTGCTTAATATAAAATCTTGTATATGTATAATATATACAATACATACATTATATATATATATATAAAATATATATATAACAAATATATAAAAATATAACAAATATATAAAATATATATATATATATATATATATATATAAATATAAAATATATAAATATATATATATATATATATATATATAACAAATATAAAAAATATATATATATATATATATATATATATATATATATATATAAAAATATAAAATATATATATATATATATAAAAATATATAAAATATATATATATATATAACAAATATATAAAAATATATATATATATATAACAAATATATAAAAATATATATATATATATATAAATAATATATAAAAATATATATATATATATATAAACAAATATATAAAATATATATATATATATAACAAATATATAAAATATAACAAATATATATGTGTGTATATAAGGTTTGGTTTCTTTTACGGCATATCAACTGCAATGGGTTATTTAATGCTGACAAGATTTTTATTGCTGGTAATATTTTTTTCCTTCATAAATATATATTTCTCATAATATTTTTTTGTCCTTCAAAAATATATTGATGGTGATAATTATTTTTTCAAAAATGTATTGCCGGTAATAATTTTTTTCTTCAAAAATTCATTGGTGGTAATATTTTTTTTTTACAAAAAATGTATTGCCAATACTAAAACCTATTTTTACACTTTCATGGTTTTGAACCTTGTATCAATTTCATATAAAACAGCTTGAAAAATTCCATCAGCACTGTCTCAGACATATTCTTGGTCTGAAGTGGCACAGTTGTGTTCCAGATACAAGTGTCTTGACCAAAGCCAAAACAGTCAGCATTGATGCAATTGTGATTAGAAACCAAATGTGTTGGGCTGATCATCTAGTCCGCTTTGATGACTCAGACTTACAAAACAGCTGTTTTATGGTGAGTTTCTTTCTGGCAAGAGACCCCAGAACAAGCCAAAAAAAAAAAAATAACATTTGTGAGATAGTGTCAAGGAGAGTTTAGCATGTTTTGGTGTTCCTGTTGATGATTGGGAGTCCCTAGCATCTGATCGTGGCCAGTGGAGGGCTGTGATTTTCAAGAGTGCTGAACTTTTGAAGCAGCCATAGCAGACTGAGCAAAGCTCAAGAGACCATGCAGAAAATGGGAACCTCCACCAGCTAATTGTGGGGATGTGTGGATCTGTGAGGTATGTGACCAGGCCATGCTGTCAAAGGCAGGCTTAGTTAATCACATGAAATCACATAAAAGCAATCCAACTACATTTGTTGTCCCTCCCATGGTGTGCATTGAGTCCCAGGCTGAAAACTTTTCATACTCCTTCTGCTCTAGAGTTTGCCGATCAGCTGGTGGTTTCAAGCATCACATTAAAGTTCACAATGATGCCAACACCGTGTTTGTCGTCTCAACCAACACTGATGGTCATGAGTGCCAAATCTGCTTCAAGATGTCCAAGTCACTGGCAGGACTGAAGAGTCATCAACGGGTCCATGGATGGTCAATCAATGAAGGAGTGGCAACCATCTGACAAGACGTGACAATCAACAATATATATATATATATATATATATATATATATATAAAAAAAAAAGGCTTAAACACTAATATTCCATGGTCATAATTTATTCCATTGGAATCGTAAATACGATCCAATTCATCAGACCTACAAATTCAAAAAGAAAACAGAAAAAACCAACTCTGGAAATAAAAACAGAATTTAGAGAGAGTGTAAGTATGAGGAGGAGGGAGATTAAACCTTAACAGAGAGAATTTTAGGAGAGGTGAGTGGAAGGGGTTTAAATAAGAGAAAAGAATGAATGTTGACGGATGTCTAATGCATAAAGATACATTTTGTGGTGACATACACACACCATAGACAATTTAATGTTAGAAGAAGAGGGAGGGAAAGAAGAGGTGGGGGAGAGAGATGGGATGAAGGAAAGTAAAATTGCGTTTACTTAAAGGGCCGCTTGTAATTGAGAAAATTTGACAAATTTAATATCGACTACAGGTTACAAATCAAATATAAATATATGAAGATAAATATAAATATATATATATATATATATATATATATATATATATATATATATATATATATATATATAGATATATATATTTTTAGTCATGTCTGATTGTATAAATTACAGACATCATGTCCTAATTTTTAACAAAATCCATTCATACTCACAAATAACCTTCCGTCTATTGATGTTAAAAGATGAGAGAAATGTGTTATTGTTGTTTAAATTTCTTTTATTTTCATTTCCCAAGTACTTTCGATCTTTTTCCAAGATCATCTTCAGTGGTGCAAGTAATACAAAACTATATGTTGTTCATTAATATAGGTATTTATACAATGATGTGCATTGTTATCCATTACTGTTGAGTGTTCATTAGAGCATAAAAAAAAATTATCCATTATGGAATTTTTTCTCTATGTTATAATGTCATAGTCACGTGCGCATTAGAGCCTGAAAAAACTGTTTCTTTACAGGCATTTTAGAATATTACTGCAGTATTCATAGTTGATTCTGTTCAGTGTCAGCTTTAATTTTTTAATATAAATTGTTTCTAGTATCTGTAATCTAAATTTGTTGTTTTCATGGTGTAGGTTAGTTGTGTTGTCAATTAGTAATTTTTTATTTTGATAAAAATTAGCAGACACAATGTCTATAATTTATTCAATCAGACATGCCTAAAAGAGAATTTGCTGCCTAAATACACAAATTTAATATGTGTGTGTGTATATATATATATATATATATATATATATATATGTAAGCAAATATATGAATATAGATGCGACAATATGAAGAAAAATATACGAAAAAACAAACATAAATCCTAATATGCAATTATGCTGTTTTAATATTAATATAATGACAACGTCGGATGTTTCGGTCTAGTAGACCAACTTCAGGACATATTCATAAAACATAATTAACATTATAGTCTAATGTTTTTCATTATGTTTCATGGTAATGTCCAAAATTCGTATATATATATACCGAAAATTTAAATATATTTTCTTCATATATGTGTATATATATATATATATATATATATATATACAATATATATATAATTGAAAAAGTATATATATATATATATATATATATATATATATATATATATATATATATATATATATATATATATATATATATATAAAGTTTGTTTAAAATATTATTTTGCCCTTTTCTGCCTTTTATTTTTATTGAGGATTTTGTCAATTTTGTTGATCATTTTTCCAATTACACTTAAACATGGCCAATTACTTCACATAAATCAGAATTTCTATTCACAATTTTTTTTTCATTCCTGCCACTTGACATTTTACACTAATTCAAGCATAAAGATTTTTGTGAGACAAAATCTTACAATGATTGTCTTATTGATGATGATGTATCCCCATTTACATGACAATTCATATTTCCAAGAGCATAAATATATCCAGTATTCCTATAAACAACTGAATCCAAGACAACTGATAAGCAGAGGTACTGTTGCCATTAGAAACAAGGAAAGGATATAGAATTATCAGAATCCGGTTCAAGAAATTCTATGAATATTAATGGTTTAAGTATTTATTAATATTCATTTTTTTATTATAACTTTGTAAACATTTATGCACAGTGAGTATACATAGATGCAGAAGTGAGGAGAAAAAATGATTCCCCTCGTTCCAAGAAAGCACTTACCCAAATGCCATTCGCCCTACCTTCCAACAAAGACACTCACCCAAATGCCATTCGCCCTACCTTCCAACAAAGACACTCACCCAAATGCCATTCGCCCTACCTTCCAACAAAGACACTCACCCAAATGCCATTCGCCCTACCTTCCAACAAAGACACTCACCCAAATGCCATTCGCCTCCTTCCAACAAAGACACTCACCCAAATGCCATTAAGCCCTACTGTCCAACAAAGACACTCACCCAAATGCCATTAGCCCACTGTCCAAGAAAGCCACTCACCCAAATGCCATTCCCCCTACCTTCCAACAAAGGCACTCACCCAAATGCCATTCGCCCTACCTTCCAACAAAGACACTCACCCAAATGCCATTCCCCCTCCTTCCAACAAAGACACTCACCCAAATGCCATTAAGCCCTACCTTCCAACAAAGACACTCACCCAAATGCCATTCCCCCTCCGTCCAACAAAGACACTCACCCAAATGCCATTCGCCCTACCTTCCAACAAAGATACTCACCCAAATGCCATTCCCCCTCCGTCCAACAAAGACATTGACCCAAATGCCATTCCCCCTACCTTCCAAGAAAGACATTGACCCAAATCCCATTCGCCCTACCTTCCAAGAAAGACACTCACCCAAATGCCATTCACCCTCCGTCCAAGAAAGACACTCACCCAAATGCCATTCCCCCACTGTCCAAGAAAGACACTCACCCAAATGCCATTTCCTCTGTCTTTTTAACAGCTGCTCACTCGAAAAACTGTTCACCATACCTTCCTGCCAAGAAAGTTGCTTACCTGAAAGCCATTCTCTCCTTTCTAAAAATTAATTCACCCAATTGCCATTCTCCCTTCAGCCTTCCACTTACCCAAAAATCATTCAACATCAACAACTTCCTGATAAATGTTCACTCAGAAGCCACTTGATCACCAGCATTTCCAGATGATCACCCATAATGCAATGCTCTTGCCATGTGACCTGTTTGAGGCACCCAGAACAAATAAATATCACTAAATGATGCAATGTTACCTCATTTTGAAAGGTGGACAGAAAACTAGCTGCAATATCATTCATGCCCTGCGTGTAGCCAACATCTCGGTGGAAGTAGGTGTATGTCGTCAGCATGTTGTGTAACCAGCCCAGATATTTGCTATCATCTTCCCTACAATAAACAAAATGAAAAGCTAATTAGTTAATGAAAAAATTATAGGAATAAATACAAGATTTACTTCTGTTAAACATTTTAATTCTTTAAAGAAGAAAAGGCAAATGAAATTGGGACTTAAGAGAATGAAATTTACAAAGCAAATGAATGACCCAAATAGTATTAAATAGATAGATTTTGTCCTTTCTAAGGAAGGCAAATAGCTGAAAACATATCCATTACTCTCAAATTGAGAGTACAAAAATTCTTGACAAAGTCCAAAGAATCTGCAATGTTATGAATCCTGACCTGGTATCTCAGCTTCAATCACTATTCTACTACCATAGAGTAGTCTTTTTTATAAATATTTTCATTGCAAATGTTCTGATGACTTTTCCTCTTTGGTACCTCAACTTAACGGACTTAAGTGTAGTACTAGATTAGCAGCTAGCATGCATCATTTTATTGCTGCAATTGTTAGATGTAACTGAAACTTCTATTCTAATAGTTTCTTCTCTTGCACTTCTCACCTGTGGAACTCTCTACCAGCTTTTTGCTTATTAGAAAACTATATGCTCTTTCTCAAATATTCAGGCCAGTAGATGGAAATAAATAAATGTACTGTTTAATAAATAAAAACAGAACATCTACTCAAATATGGGTACCCATAAAAAATAATATTTAAGCAATAAATTAAAATATGTCAGATTAATAAATGAAAAATCCATTCCTAAAAAAGTATATAACATTAAAAAAAATTTTTTTTTAATTTATGTAGAAACTGAAATACAATATTTTAAGAAAACACTAAAAACGCTCAAGAATTAATGACAGTATATGACTAGAAAACCAAAAGTCTAAATGGCTACAATTGAAGAAAAAAAAAAAAAAAAAAAGAAAAGGTAAGAAACCAATAAGGAGTGAAAAAAAAGATAAAGAGGACAAGTAACCACAATATTCTACACGTATACATACAGATGGGCACACGCTATGAAGAAAAAAGCTTGCACCAATGAAAAGTGCATATAAAAAGAAAAATCAAGAAATATAAGCAGTCAATTGCTGATATTCCCTGATGAGTGGACGGAGTGAGTCCCAGAGGGTACATCTATGAAACTCTGGAGTCAAGATCCTGATGGCAATATCAATCAGTTGACAAACCTTTTACTTGTATTAATTATATGTGTGTGTGTGCATTCAATAAGGAATAATGAAATTATTTTTTTAATCCAACATTAATTAATTTATATATAACCAAGATGAGAACAACAGTGGGTTAGGCGGAAAACTTTTCAGTGTCTCATATAAAAAATATTCACTGAAGTGTCTGATGATTTTATGATTATGTAGAAAACAAAATCTACAAAGTGACTACCACCCATTGACCTTAAGGAAACAAAAGAGCTGCGTACAAGAATAGAAAAAGTTTTCTAAGAAGCAAGATAAGCTATTTGCAAGTCATTTTAAAATTAAAATAGTCAAAAAGAGAACAAAATAGTCAAAAAGAGAACAAAATCACTGATTGAAAGACTGAAGATTATAGAATGTCAAGGAGACTACAGTAACATCTAAAGTAGAAATTAAATATTCTAAGATAATAATTTAAAATAATAATCAGAATAGTGTTTTTTGTGGTTATGTGACACTGTGGAATGTAGGTGTGATCAGGACAACCACATAGAAGTGAATCTAAGTAATTTTATCTTTACCTAAAGTGTTTAGTGTTTTTAGGACTATGTAGACAATAATACCTACAAAGTAAGTTTTTTTCAAACTGCCACACACTGATCAAAAGGAAATAAAAATGAATAAATAAAAACTTTCAGGAACAATTGCCACTTGGCCAGAATTTTAAAATTTCCACTCCAAAGCTAATATCAATGGTCACAGAATTGAACATAGTTTCAACATCATTGGTGCATAAGAGAGATGATTCTAGGTACATTCCTGACACAGAGAAATCTAAAAAGACACAATAAACTTTATCTATGCGTCCTAGGGATACACCTCAATTTTCTCGTGAAAAATGATACAATGCACACAACCAATCTATAACATTTATGAAACAGCAAAAGGTATCTCTTGCTTGTTGATAATGAAATAAACAAAGACATCAGTTCAATGATGCATCTATATTTAATTTAAAATGTAACTAATATATTACATATTTTGTATTTTTTTCTTGAATATATTATTAAACATATTTTTTTAAACTATTAGTGCAAATGTTTTAACTAACTAGCAAAGACATATTTACTACTAGCAGCCATACCCAGCTGGTTGATCAGAAAAAGCATTCAATTAGAATGGAGCAAAAACAGCATCAAGTTTAGATGGAGCAGAGTCTATCTTATTACTTTAAAGTACTTTCATGAAAAAACATTTTGAATTAATGCAGGTACTTATATAATCGAAGTTAGCCGAAGACATGCAGGAGTAAAACAGGCAACATGAAGACCCACTTAAGACCACAATTATTTTGGGGTTTTTGAAATTCAGTTTGTCATTGTGCTATCAGGGATGTAAAAGAGGATACATTAAAAAGCAATTGTTAAGTTTGATGAAATTTGGTTGAAAGATCAACAAAAAAGAAACCAGTAAAAATCGCCATTTTTTGCTATTTATGCAGGTTTTCACTATATGGGTGGACTCACTTATCAAGTTAAATGACTGCTAAACAATGAACTTATTGTTGGCTACAATTGAGTGAAGTTTGTATTAGATTGCTTGAAAATTAAGGGAGTTTTTAGTTTAAAATTTGGGTTGAAATCAATTTTTTGTTTTTTGCTAAATGCAGTGTTGTAGTAATAAAAATGAGGTAAGCTGCTTGTAGAAACATGTAAACACATCTAAAAACATATTTAGTCAAGATTGCAAGAAAAAAATGTCAAAAAAGAAAGTTTCTTTTCAAAATTATCAAATTTCTCATCTTTAATGTTTGATTATCTCCAGGGCAACAAGAATTTATTTCCTCCTTATTTTATTTCTTCTTTCATCTTCACCACAACTTATCAGTTTTGGTTAAAATGTTTCTATCCAGAAAGAAATAAGAAAACAAAAAAGTTTAAAATTTCTAAAAATTGAAATCACCGATTTATCCAGATACATTTTTGTCTGCTTTCTGATCAATAAGAAATAAGTGATTCTTTATATTATTTACATTATTCGGACTATTGTCCTCATCTTTGTCGCCATATTTATTACAACGTTTTGGCCTTTCAGTATCTGTCTATATTTCTGACATGAGGTATTATGTACATTATTTACATTATTCGGACTATTGTCCTCATCTTTGTCGCCATATTTATTACAACGTTTTGACCATTGTACGCTCTGGCTTTCTTCAGGTGGTTGGAATGTTGAACTTAACCCTTTATTTCGCTCACTAGGGTAGACTGTTCTAGTTCCACATGCCATGTTTAATGGATGTCAGTTATCAGTTATCTCCTGTTAATTTCCCTCTGAAAGTTCTCCACTGCCTTAACCGGGTATTGAACTCACACTCTTTGGGTCCTGTCACTGGATCTAACCAATGTCTTTATCCACTGTGCCATGTGTCCTTAAGGCAGTGGAGAACTTTCAACCACCTGAAAAAGGCCGGAGTGAACAATGGCTGAAACATTGTAATAAATATGATGACAAAGATGAGGACAATAGTCCGAATAATATAAATAATGTACATAATACCTCATCTCAGAAATATAAACAGAAAGTGATTCTTTGTATTAAGATAAAATTATTAATGAGCTAATTATTGAATATATATTAGCAATCCCTTGATAAAGACACCACATTTGTTATTGCCAGAGATAGCTTTTGGCTGGAGTCATTGACACTTTCTCTATATCCCAATCATGTATTGTTGATAAGCTTTTGCAGATAAATTAGTAGAAAAAAAACAATGAACTTTGTATTATTGTTGTTGTTATATTATTATTATGATTATTGTCATTGTTGTATTACTATTATTTTTCTTGTTATATTATCGTTGTTGTCATTATTATGATTATTGTAGCTATATTATGATAATTGTCATAATGTTGTTATTATTGTTGTTGTCATCATGATATTACCATTGTTGTTGACATCATTATTATTGTAATATTATTCTCATTATTTTTGTTATTGTTGTTGTTATTCTTGTTATAATCATCATCATAAATAGTTGCAGAAATTTTTACCTGAAAAGTTCATGATTCCGGTCAGTTCGAGGCACATCACGTTTAACAATTCGCATATCAGCCCAGAACTTTTTGGGTTGAACTTTGTGCTTCTTGGCATAAATCTACAACAAAAAGACAAAAATTCAGTGAAAAATGAACAATTCGGGTCAGATGAACATGGACCATCCAAATTTTAAAATAGAAGTTCAAAGATTAAAATATTTTGTTTAATGTCCTGAATAATAATAATAATAATAATGAACAAGTTTATTCAAATTTTAGAGAAACTGTTCTACTTTTTTTAATAAGCTAGCCTTTGCATTTTAAATAAGAAATGTTCATTATTCCAGACATTTGATTGGGATTTTTGAGTTTTTTTGTTCAGGGTTTCCCACATATCAGTCTTCCTGTATTTTTTTGTCAAATTTGGAGATTAAATTAATTTTATTATACACATTTACACGAGTATCTTCATTTTCTTGTTTTTTTCAATTTTTTCTTTGTAGTATATATGGAAAGAATTGGTTTTAGTAAAATAAACAAGCACAAAAGAAATATTTATATATATATATTAAGACATTTTTTGAGGGGGGCTAAATTTTGACAATCTCACCACCTATATATATATATATATATATATATATATATATATATATATATATATATGTATGTGTGTGTGTGTGTTAATAGAAAATCTTATAAAAGCTTAAAATAATTAAAATTAGCAACACTACCAATTACTTACAGAGTTGGAAAACTTAGCCTTTAAGGCATTTTTCTTTTTAAATCGTCTTCCCTAATTCAGACAAATTGCAATCAAACTAAATCATTCTTGTTTGGATCACACTGGATTAGCATTTCTGCATAAGATCCAAAATCATAGATCCCCAACCTTTGGGATGGGATCAAAGTGTAATATCTGCCTTATCAGGTGGATAAAATATATTTTATCTCTCAATTGTGTTGTCTTCGGACAAAACACAACAAATAAATAAGGGATGCCCGGTACTGGGGATTCCAACTCTGCAGCAGTACCTCCCTCATTGCACCAAAAAGGGAGGGTTGGTAGAATATTGATATCAGCACAATGTTGGCTTGCAGAGACTGGTTAATTTTTTGCCTAAAGCCATGTGCATATGCTTTGACTCCCCCACTTTAAACGAGCCTTGGGACATATCCAGTTACTGTGTTCACAAGTAAATACCAAGTGTAGTATCTGTTTTTCGCCTCTCTGCTACAAAACCCAGTCTACTCTACTATTTAACCTGTAGCTTTGAAAAGAAGAGATAAATTCATTTTTCCCCAGGAGCATTTGCGCAAAACTGGAAACAGCCAAGGCCAGAATTTAAATTTGAATCACTAATTCCTCTTTCCCTGTTGATATCCATTACACTACCCACAAACTAGTCAGGTGCTCAGCTGTGCAGTGACCCTACAACCACACCCTGTTATAGGAGAAATGATGAGGTAAACAGCAACTTCAGTACAGTGTTGAGATTCTGTTGCAATGCCACTGGTTTTAGTTCTTGAGCCCCCACCCAACACCACATCATAAACTGCATCAACAAAGGATGATTTCTTTTTTATATATTTGATTTATTAAGCAATAGGGACAGGTATGGTGGCATCAATTCTAGGAAAGAGAAGGAGGAAGATAGGAGCACATAAATCAGATGAATTGGCTTAGCATTTCACCACATGCTGGCTAGCCTCTCCAAGGAATTTGAATGTAGGAGAAATGTTGACTCTTCAAATTTCTTGCAGCCTTCCACTCTCTGTACACCATTTTGGTTTTATATCCAAAACTTAGACAAAGACATTTCAGCACTGTCAGAATTCCAATGGTTTTCTGACCAGTAGTTTGCTATTCTGGCCTAGCCTCCACATTTTGTAAAAACAGTTAAGCAATGCCATGCCCCCTGCAGACAAAACTGACACAGCTACTGTTCTTATTTTTATCTATTGACAATATATAGAGACAACAATTTTCCAAGTCCCTCAAAAAAAAAAAAAAAAAAAAAAACTCCCTTGAGAGTGTCCACCAGGGAGGCTAGTAAAGGTTGAGCTAGAAAACATTCAGAACAAGATCTTGTTTTGTATTTTAAAAAAAAAAACAAAAAAAAACTACAGGTCACTCCATTAGGTCCATCAACATCAGCTTTGTTATAGGACACTTTTCAATCTTATTTGTCAGAGAAAATATCAAGTCTGGCATTAGGACTTACCAATTTAGCAGACCCATCAAGAACCTGTAACTTTTCTCCTGTTTCAGACAGTTCATGACTTTTTGGTGGATTTGTATAATTGTCAATCATTTATAAGAAATTTTTTTATATTAGTATAGATTAAACACTGCGGATTACAAATATCAATAAAGATTTTATAGAAGCTAATAGAGGGCTCAGTTTTCTATGTAAATTACTTGTAAAATCATCCCTCTATGGAAACCCAAACAAAATATGCTTGTACCACTGGATTTCTTAAGATCAAAATATCAAAAAAATTATTTAATTTTAAAATTCATAATCTGGAGCTATTTTATTCATATATTACTATTAATTTAAGTACCCTGCTACTTGCAATACTAAGGCCAGAATCATTGTGGTCTGATGGTAAGATGTTGGCTTGGGATTTCTTAGCTGTAATGTGGTTGATTTACACCGGGGGGGGGGGCGTCCTGCTGTCATCAACCCCAATGAAACAAAAAAACACTTTCTCCTTGTTTCTTAAGTGGCAATAAAAAATTATAAAATCTATGACTCAATTTACTTGTGAAGAAGAATATTTTAGAATGCATGTTGTGGTGTAATAGTTAATGGCTTAGAATTAGAAATCAGAGAACAGAGTTCAAATTAGAGCCAGGTTTGTTCTATTCAGTTACATGCAAATAGACTTGGGAAAGGCTATGAATCCATCTCTGGTTGCCACCAGCTATGGGTTGAATAGCAGCACAGACTGGGTCTACAAAATAAAGAAACCTACTGTGGGAAAATCTTCTGCCTGAATTGATAGAGATGTGATCATACAATCATATATCACATATAGCACTTAACTGACTGGCTATGAATTTTTCTCAAAAAAAAAAGGGGGGGGGAAGCTTTCTACTGTTATTGAGTACATCAATCCCAATGAAACAAAAAAAATTACTCCTTTATAACATCCAGCACACACAACCTGCCTGAGAGATCTGCAAAGACAAACAAACTGTTCACACTGAAAGAATGGTTTTAACAGTGAAAAACACTTTTTGAACAACTATTAAATTTTAATAGTTGTTCAAACATATTCTGTTGAGTTCTTAAACCTCAACAGAATATATAATTATAATCACTTGCAAACAATCTATTTCAACACTGTGGCAATAAAAGTCACAAATGAGTCTAGCCTTTCTAGACTCTAACCGTAGCCATTCAAAACTGGCTAACTGGAGCAGCCATATTTAGTTTACTGGTATTTCAGAACTGAGAAAAATGTGCCAAGTGTGGGAACACTGGCAGCCTGTCCCACAGATCCTTGACCCATCCCAGTTTTGCCAATACCATGTTGGAAGAAAAACCTGTTGTCTCTTAGGAAAGTTAACTTAATAGTGTAAACATAAAATGTGACTTTCACTCAGAAATCCCACCAATTGGCCAACGATTAACCTACATTATATTTTGATTCTCAATCTGATCAATGTGCACCGAAAGCTAGGGAAGAGCATACTGCATGTTCACAATGAAAGACCAATGTCATGTCAAAGAAATAAGAATATGAACCCTTTGTCACATATTATATGAAGATGTTTTATTCAGGGATTTATCTGCTCATCTGGGTGATACCTGGGACATAAGTATCAAAGGAAATGTGCTCCTGAACTGACTTCTTCTTCTCTCCAAACTCTACAGCAAATGCCTTGCTAATTCTTGATTTCCAACTTGGAAATCCTCTCTTGTAGTTTCTATCTTTAAGAACTCTGGTGAACTTTCTGACCTCTTGAATTATCATGCTATTAGTCTTACATTTCTTTTTTTTTTTAGCAAAGTACTAGCTCTAATCAACACTGAATTGGTTAAACATCTGACTTCATGTGATCTTCTTTCAGATAAACAATATGGCTTTCGATTCTCCAGGTCATCCTAGATGTGTTAATGTTTATTACTGAATTTTCTATTAGACTTTACATATGAATGGTGAGGTTTGGTCTGTGGCTTTAGATATCTCAAAGGTGTTTGAAATATTTGAAATATGAAAGGAATAAAGAAGAGTTAACTATACAATTCATAGCGGGTCTTAACTGTGAAGGACTGGAATGGTAGAATTAAGTAATGTATATGTGCAAACATATGAGGTCCTCACCCAAGCTTGCCAATGATTACTTCACATCATATTTCAGTTCTGATCAGTGTGCACTGAAAGCTAGGACGGGCCTTGCCATCTTAAGAAAAAAGTATGTGAATCCCCATATTACATGTAGAGGTTTTATTCAGGGTTTCACCTGTCATCTGAGTAGGTATATAGGTGATATTTGGGACTATGTTGGTCTAACAGCTCAGATCTTCCCCTAACCAACTTCTCACTCATCTACTCATGTCGTGATGTGGTGGCTGCCAATTAGAATGCACGGCACAGGAAGTACACAACAGACAAGCTGGACTTCTGTCAAGGGTGAACCAGAACTGTTATTAAGCATGCCTGTCAATATAGACCAGCACTCAGATATACCCTATTTCTGGTTTTGTTGTCACTTGATCTCCAAAAGCCCCCATCCACTCCTTTACTTTCCATTCCCCTTTGGCCAAAGTGGATGCTGCTTAGAAGACCAAACTTCAAAAGGAACTATCTGTTGGAGAATCAAACAGAAACATTTGAGATCAAAATAAAACCACCTCTTCACTTTCTATGTGGGTATATATAGTATCACAATGGCTACATAGAAGAAAGGGTGATATAAAAATTTACAGCACCTTCCACAAACAATATAATTTAAAATTTTTCATGTCATTGGCTAATGGGGATGACATTTTAAACATTTTATTTGCCTTCTCCAGTATACCATGTATCCTGACCACTTTTCATGATAGGAAAGAAATATTGATTAAACAGAACATTTGTATGGTTCAACACACTTATCTGCTTTTGC